ATACAATGGCTCTGCGGAACGCAGTGAATTACATCCTGCCATAATGTTTTATCCTCAAATAATTCACCAAATGAAACTCCTCGCAAGAGAGTTTGACTTTTATTATGCTGTGTCAAATCTCTCCACTTCATGTTTGGTACAATGTAATAAAATATAGAAAACTCAATGGCATCAATATGGAAATGTTTAGGAGGGAGGTGTCCGAGTTACTTATTGTTTCCACTGATATGGATGTCAATAATATGGAGTCCACATATAATGAAACAATGGGTAAAATAATTGATGATTTTGCTCTTCTAATTACTGGAAGTGTCCAGTCGCGTGTGAGGCAGCCATGGTTCAATTCAACTATGAAGGATATGAAAATTGAAAAACGCAAGTTCAGAGAGGAAATGGCGATGCAGAGGAGCGCAGTTGGATTATGATAATTTCAAAGCTATGAGGTTGGACATGAATTGTTTTATGTGGAAATGTAAGCTTGAGTATTTTGCGGGTCTCATTTGCGAACATGAAGGTGATCAAAAACAATTGGTTCACATAATTGACAGATTATTTCACACAAAGAAAGAAATACCATATCCCGACTCTTGTCCACCTTTGGATTTGGCATGTCATTTCAATGACTATTTCATTAACAAGATTAATGTAATAAGGTCCAGTTTTAGTGACACTGTTGTTCCTACCAATTCGATTCGTCATGTTGACCATGCTTTAAAGGAATTTGAATTACATTGTACTATTGGAAGATGATGTTTTAAATCTAATTAAGGCATCGCCCAGCAAGTCATGTGACTTAGACCCCCTTTCCACACGAGTGTTAAAACAGTGTATTGGTGAGATTAGTGGCTATATAAAATGTATTGTTAATTCCTCACTATCTAATGGTGTTTTCCCATCAAAGTTAAAAGAAGCTATAATATTACCATTGTTAAAAAAAACAGGGCCATGACATGGCATACAGTAACTATCGACCGGTATCAAATGTTTCATTTGTCTCAAAAATAAGTGAAAAAGCTGTTCCTATTCAAGTACTGTCGCATATTAGGAAGAACTCACTGGAGGAAACATTCCAGTCAGCATATAAAAAGTTTCACAGTACAGAGACTGCCTTATCCAAAGTACAAAATGATATATTAATGTCCATGGACAGCCAAAATGTTTGTGTTTTAGTACTTTTAGATTTGAGTGCAGCATTTGACACTGTGATAGTCAGTTCCAGTGGCTTTGCTTTCTGAGAAAAAAAATCTGGCTCTGTACCTGAAGAAAAAAAAAAAAAAAGAACATTTAGCCCAAAGTAAACAGAGGTTGTAGCATATGTGCTCCCATTGGCTGTTAGATTTAATTAAAAAAGCTATTTGTGTACCGTCTTTTCAGTATGAAAACATATTACTTAATATATTTATGCCAGCCAGAAAGAAATTGCTGTTTACACTGAGCAATTAGAAATATACATGGTCAACAATTGATGCATGTCTAGCAATATACTGTTTGAAAGGCTGCAAGACGTAATGAAGTAGCAAACCAATCACTACTCGAGTCGGACTGGCTGGAAAACTGCACCGTACATACAAAAATTTATGCAAATGATATATGAGCAGCTCCACCAAATATTAAAATATTCTTTCCATAGTTATGACTCTAATGTGAATGTGATTTTCCACTCCTTAGCAATACTAGTTTGTGTATTGTATTGTATTGTATTGTATTGTATTGTATCATACAAGTTTATTGTGATTCTATATGTGTTTGTAATATTATTTAGCTTTATTTAGCATTCTGTTTAGTTGGTTAACTTTACTGTATCTTAATGTAGTTTATTTTATTTTTATACGACCATAGAACAACTCACTGTAGCTTGTTTTAATGTTGAATAAAAATTAAAATCAGTCACTGTATGGTGGTGACATATTGCGCAAAATTGTTGATAGGACAATACTTTTCTCGATTTGCGTGCCCTCGTGCGTCGATAAAAAATGCATGGAATGGTCGGCAGTATCGATCAAGTTCGTCTACGTTTATTTGGGACATTTAGCATTGTGGGCAAGCTCTCCTGAGTAGCGACATATTTTTAACTTCGCCTATGGTGTGATCAGTAGATTACGTAAATAAACCAACACTTTCAATGAGTACATGCCGACCCAACTAAACTTGTTTATGGCTGTTTACGATCACCAAACCCCAGACACAAACGATAATACAAAGTGTATAAATACCATAACAAGCACAGTTTCTTACCTTTGAAATTGATGAGACACAATTTTGTCCATATAAGTGTTGCGCAAATAAAGATACAATTCCGGGATACGATATCCTCACACAAAAATGACTGTGATTTCCACCGAGACGAGAACTGCGTATGCGTCATCAAAACTCGGATTATATAAACTCGGGTAATTTCAGGAAAAGTCAGATTTTCCAGCAGTTTTGAAGGAAAAATGTTAAAAATCAAAGAAAAACACAATGAAACTTTGAAGAATCGAAAAAATAACTTGATAGCACCATCAATTCTAGTCTTTGTACCAACTCTGAACTGAAATGGATCACACATGTGTGAGAAAAAGCTGGTAACATGAAAACGGATAACAAACGGATGCAGACACGACCCAAATTAATATCCCCTGCCCGGATCGTGTAATGTCATGCGCTGTTGATCAGTTATTACTGTAAATAGCGCAATATAAGTAAAGAAATTATTATTATTATTAATGTAACAGCAGGGTTGCGTGAATCCACATCTACCATTGGTTGACTGTCGGCATACCTTCGATGGTTCACACAACGTTTCAAAACTGTTTTCTATTTACACCACAGCAATGCTCAACAATATAAATCAGTCTTTTGTTTTATGTGTTACTCGAACTCTCAGTCAACTGTTTTTGTGGCATTGCGAACTCTCAATCGTCAGTTTTTTTTCAATTGTGAACTCTCAATCGTCAGTTTTTTTACAATTGCGAACTCTCAATCGTTAGTTTTTTTGCCATTGCGACGCTCGCAAAGGCCGTTTCACTGTACATTTACATACTTCCTAAATTTGAATAAAAACTGACAAAGCATATCCAAAATACGACATTTTCAAAAAACAAGATGGCTGCCAGTTGGCCATCTTTGATCCAATTGTGAAATAAATCGTCATGGACATGTATCCTAACATGTATAATCTATGTACCAAGTTTGAATGAAAACTGACAAAGCATGTTCAAAATACAACATTTTCAGAAAACAAGATGGCTGCCAGTCGGCCATTTTGAATCCAAACGCTAAACAGAACAGAATCGGTCCAAGGGATTCTGAGATATGACTGCGGATGGAGGGACGGACGCACGGACGGGCGGAGACCGAATTATAAGTCCCTGTTTTCGGACTTCGTACGAACAGGGACTAACAAATCTGAGAGAGGCCCACATGTAGTACCTATATATGTAATATCAAAGCAATTGGACTTGTGATTTTTAACACGAAGTCGAAAATATCACTTTTTACCATAAATTAAAATAATTTTCATCAAAATTGAAGATATCATCAAGAAATGAACAAATCTGAGAGAGGTCTACCTATAGTACTTATACATGTATGCATAATATCAAAGTAATCAGACTTGCAGTTTTCAACAAGAAGTCGAAAATATAACTTTTTACCATAAATTAAAAAAATTTTCATCAGAATTGAAGATATCATTAAGAAATGAACAAATCTGAGAGAGGTCTACCTATAGTACTTATACATGTATGCATAATATCAAAGTAATCAGACTTGCAATTTTCAACAAGAAGTCGAAAATATAACTTTTTACCAAAACATACAAAAATATTCACCAAAATTAGAGAATTAAAGATATCATTACAAAACGAACAAATCTGAGAGAGGTCTACCTGTAGTACCTATATATGTAATATCAAAGCAATTTGAGTTACGGTTTTTAACAAGAAGTCGAAAATATCACTTTCTACCAAAAATGACAAAAATATTCACCAAAATTAGAGAATTAAAGATATCATTACAAAATGAACAAATCTGAGAGAGGTCCACATGTAGTACCTATATATGTGATATCAAAGCAATCTGAATCTGACGTTTTTTTACAAGAAATCCAAAATATCACTTTTTACCAAAAATGACAAAAATATTCATGAAATGAACAAATCTGAGAAAGAACCATCCAAGGTAATTGCATATCAAATTTGAAAACATTCTGACCTGCAGTTTTGAAGAAGAAGTTGAAATTGTGAAGTTGGCGCCGATGACGACAGACGCAGTACTTGAGATGTCAGCAGTTAACAGCCATATACATGCATCTCAAAACTAAGTGAAGTGAAATTATATTTACACAGTATTTCTACCCTTCAGATTTACCCATTACTAAAACAAGCAACGTCATAGTTTAAATAGACCTACTGTTTTTTGTGACTTGTCTTAATGTTCTATTTATGATATATTAGTGATTTGCCATGGTTATTGTTACCACAATATTCTAAATCACTGCTATTGTAGTTTATATGATTGTTGCTATGGCAATTGCAATTGTTAACAACTTGTTAAAGATCATACCAATCGTCAAAGTAATATTCACTTAAAATAAGGAATTGAATATATCACCATGAAATGAACAAACCTGACAGAGGTCTACCAAAGGTAATTGAAGAAGAAGTTGGAAGTAGCATTTTTGTTACCAAAAATGACAAAAATATTCATGAAAAAATATTGCAAAAAAATAGGGAATTAAAGATTTCATCACCAAATTAACAAAACTGATAAAGGTCATCTACAACCATCAATGCAGCTACAAAACAAAAATTAAGTCAAATTGGCGGTTTTAGAGAAAAAATCACCCATCCAGACACAGCACCATGAGTATAGCTCAGCAGACCTGTCAAAATAAAAAACCAACATGCTTGGTATAGAACCTGAAGCTGGTACAGTAATATATCTGCTGACTGGTAGTGAATCAATCAACACCCATCCAGGAATAATCAATCAGCTATTATCACAATATATGAACAAACCTTTGATATCTCTGTGTACAATGCCATGTTCATGTAGTTTATTTATAGCTTGTGTTATTTCATATGAATATCTTCTTATCAAATGCTCTGGAAGATCTTGCTTAGCAGCTTCTGCTAATGTTCCTTCATCGCAATATTCCATGAATATCAACAACTCATCCTTAAAAAATCAAATAAAAAAACAAACAAATAGTTGTAGCCCAATTAAGTATTAAATTGTTAATACCTGGTATATAGGCTTGGACAGACCATAGGCCAAGTAACACAGGATATATTTGCATAATATTTATACGAATCACACTGGAAATAATAAATTAACCATCAATGACCTAGCTAAACTGTCAGCAGAACAAAGGCATTTCCTTTATCTTTATAAATATTTATAAATATCAATGACAGTTTAATCAAATCAGACAATCAACAAGCACAGAGTGCGTTGACATTTAAAAATTTTATTCCATTGGTCAATAGAAACTTTTTGTTTTAGTTTGTGAAATTTAAAAATATATATAAAGATGAATAGAATGACTGACTGGATTATCATTTAGTTTACTGTTTTTGACAGGCATTTTGAATGCATAAAGCTGCCACTTTAAACTTGTTCATGAATCATATGTTACAAGATGACTGAAAAGAACAACAGATGAATAAAATGTCCAAACAAATGAGTGGAGTGTTATATACTCAGGGCTCTATTCAAGTGTGTTTAAAGTAACATCATAAACATCAGAACTGGCACATTTATTCACCATGATGCAACTGGCTTGGGTCACATACTTCTGTTATTGGTTTATTAGTTTTGTAGTGATTTTATGAGCATTGTCAAAATTGTTAATGTAGAAAAACAGTTGTTTAGAAAATTAGTTGATCTTTTTGTAAAACAAATCCAGAGATGTGTCTCAAATCAGCCTCTTCATGAAATATTCATGCAGTGATTCATGCTTGTGAATTAGAACAAGAATTCCAATTTAAATATTGCTGCATGTTTCTGGGTTATACTATGACACTGACAGTGTACATGTCAAAAGTCTATATAACTTCGATCATCTACAAGGTAATCCGCTAGTATGTACCGGTATGTCTATTTTGTGACACCAAGTCTACCAATTGTCTACAATGTTACAAAATTCATAATATTGTTCATAAATTCATAGAAACCAATTACTGTGTGAATGAAAATTTGAGACAACATTTATGGATTACTGATATCCAACCTGTGCTGTGGATTATTAAATTAAAAATAAAATATTTACTTACACGGTGGAGTTCAACCCCATAATATCTGACTAAATTATGATGTTGTATTCCTTCAAAAGTTTTTATTTCATCTGCAATATCCTTTATAATACTGTGTTCATTTCGGACATACCTCATCTACAGAAACAAGACATAACATAGAACACTGATTGAAATTTTAAAACAAGCAGCCTGTCGGCTGAGATAGCTCAAAATTAGATAATTGAAGATATCATCACGAAATGAACAAATCTGAGAGAGGTCCACATGTAGTACCTATATATATAATATCAAAACAATCAGATTTGCGGTTTTCAACAAGAAGTCAAAATAAAATCACTTTTTACCAAAAAAGACAAAAATATTCATTAAAATTAGAGAATTGATGATATCAATGAACAAATCTGAGAGAGGTCTACCCAAGGTACATATTCACCAAGTATCAAAGCATTCAGGCTTGTAGTTGCCAAGAAGAAGTCGAAAGAGTAAAATATTGACACGGACAACGGACAACGACAGACAATCACTCATATGATAAGCTCTGCTCGACAAAGTCAACAACGGAGCTAAAAAAACGTAGTTAAACTACACATGGCTTGCCCTGTATAAGTAATGGTGGATCATAGCATAGGGTTAGGAATATCATTACATATGTGGGGTAGATATAAAGTTTAAATGTGATCAGCTAAGACTGTCAGAGATATAGATGGACAGACATACTGATGAATGCAAAATGATGTGCATGGGTACCATACCATAAATAATGCAAAGTTTGACAAAAAACAGCCATGGCACGATGAGAAACAGGTGATGACATGTCCAATTGCTGATTTATGGTGTTTTGAGGAACAAAACTGGTCACCAGCTTGTCAAAGGTCAGCCAGCGAAAAACAAACCGACTCACCTATGTATTCTATTATGAATCGTCTTTGCACCAACTTAAAACAAAATCAAGAAACCTCCTTGTATTGAATCAAGAAACCTTATTGTTAAATAGATCTACTGTCTTTGTGCAATGTCATTCTTCAAACAAAGTTGATAATGTGATGTATGATACTATTTGCTATGGTTACTAACATTTTTTTGCCATATCTAAACATATACCTGATTTTAGTTGTTTTTTTTTACAACTAAAATGGTCAGCAGTCAGCCATATAAATTTGAAGTGAATTGCCCAAGATATGTACAAGATATACATGTATGTCTGGAATAGAATTTGTCTTGAATCAAATAAACAAATCAAATTGATGTAAATCAACTACCCATATTCATTAATGTTATCACCAAGTTGGAAGAAAATCCGTCAACGCAGTATACCTGATATTAATATATTTGTACAACCAAAATGGGTGCCATTCGGTCATTTTGAAATCATTGCATGTGCATATATATATATATATCACAAAGAGTAATATGTAATTTGTTACTAGAAATGATCAAGAACAATTACATACAATTACAGAATAATATAACATGAATTGCACAATCAGCATGTCAGCTGATATAGTTCTGCTGATGCGTAGTGAGTAAGGAATATCAAATCAATCAGTCTAGCCTGAAAATTGAAACTACAATTATACTAAATGAATTAATCTGATAAATTATTCAACGTAGCTATATATAAAATATCAAAAAAAAGAGGCTGGTGTTTTTTTCGTTTACATTTACAACAAGCCTTATTTACCAAAAATGACTGAAATATTCACTAAAATAAGAGAACTGAAGGGTTATCAGGAAATAACTTTAATAATTTTTAATGTCTATTTTTATGTTTTCAAAATATGTTGTTCATTTTTACATTTAGCTAGCCAAACCATTACAATGCAAAAATTTAACAAAAATCACTGACAATGTATTGTTCATATATACCACATCTCCAATTTCAAAAAAAAAGGTTAAAGAATGTGATGAGTTCTCGCTGAGTAGTACTCATTTCAAAGGTCATTTTGATGTCAGAATTAAAACATACTAATTTGCATATTGATAGATGAATAAGGGGGTTAATAATTGCTACACTGCTTATTTAAATGATCAGAAATCTTCTGTGACAAATGTCATGATATCTAGTGAAAAGTAGCTGACTGGTAAACATATACAAATTGTCTAAATTATGTCATACAAGACCCTGATTTATTAATCATAAAAATACATGCAAATAATCATAACAATGTTGGATATTAATAGGGATTTCAGTCACTTGGTCAACGACATCGGAAGAAGTGGGTGTGGGCAGCTACCCTTTGGCAAAACGGCAATAAAAACAAAAGTTTAACGACAATTTTTGTATTGACTTACATGTTTCTAGCATATCTATCACTCATAATTTGAAAAAATATATATTTTAATAGTCCAAAATAGTCAAAAATCTAGATATGGCAGTTCAAGTTCAGCTCCAATTAAATAATTAGTGCTTATTTATCCAAAATGGTGCCGTTGTCTTTACTATTCAGTAGTGCTTTGTTGTGTCATCCTTTGTCCAAAATTAAGAGATGCTAATTGAAGCTACAAAGTACCATATCTTGAGAACGATTACCCTAATTTTCATCAAATAAAGTGCATTGTATTGCTCTAGTAGAGATCTATCCACTGCCACCATGTAAACTACACTATGGTATGTGTATAAATTTCCTCTGAAATCCCTAATATTAACAATGTTTTAAGTATGTTCAATAAAGTTCTAAAATTTTCTTAGAATAATTAGATGTAACTATGGATTCTATAAAATATAAAAAGTTCAAATAGATTAAAATTGATGTGGCAAAAAAACTCTACTACATTCATAACGTTATTTTCATAAAATCAATAAATCTGGCAGAGGTCCACCCAAGGTAAAATAACAGGGCAAGAAGTAACAGGACAAATAAAAAATATAAATTTTTTAAAACAAGCCATGCATGGCACAGTACCAGTTAGTTATCGAATTTAAGATATATAGTTTTGTTTATAGTGATATAGCTGAAATATAAACATGTCAGGAATATGATTATGATGATTGTTTAACATTAAAATGATTGACATTTGTATCTGATCATCAGACGAGTACTTGTCCATATTGAGAGATATTGCTCTGGAACAGCATTCAAAATCAGCCATTTTGAATAAATGTATGTATATGTATAATGAATGCATAAAATTTGAATATAATCAGTCAAAGCATGTCAGAGTTATGGCTCTAGAAGCCCATTCATTAAAACAAAATTGCCACCAGTCAACCTTTTTGATTCCGATCTGAAAAATAAAATGATGTGCACCAGGAACCCGTAATGTCTAATGTATGTACCAAGTTTAAACAAAATCCATCCATAAATACCAGAAATGCTCGATATTTGATAATTTTTTAGCACAAAAATGGCCACTATTCGGCCATTTCTAATAGGATCGTCGAACCAATATATCTGTATATCTATGACATGATGTATAATGAATATTTAAAATTTGAACATAATCAGTCAAAGCAAGTCAGAGATATGACACTAGAACCACATTCATTAAAACAAATGGCCACCAGTCGGCTATTTTGAATCTTATCTGAAAAACAAAATTATTTGCATCAAGGTCCCATAATGTCTAATGTATATACCAAGTTTGAACTAAATCCGTCTGCAAACAGCCGTGAAATGCTTGATTTTGATGATTTTTAGCAGAACGTGAAATAAATTGATGTGCATATGTATAATATCATGTATGATGTATGTGTGAAGTTGGATTGTGATTGGTCCAGGCATGTCTAAAATACAGGTCCGGACACACACACGCATGCACACACGCACACACGGACGCACAGAGATCAAAACATAAAATCAAAGAAAGCTTAGAAAGAACTTCTGTGTGCTGAGAGTATTGAAGACACATTAAAAATTAATCAAAAATTACTTGTACTTGAGATATTGATGGAATAGATGAAAACTAATTAATAATATGTAAATCAGGTAACTGATATGAACAGATTTGAGTGTAAACCTAAAAAGGCCTGTGTAATGTAATATCTACGTACCAAGTTTCATTGAAAAGTGATTAGAATAATATGAACAAATTTGAACCCAAAATTAATCGGGCCTGTCTATTGTTCTAGAGCATTTATTTACCAAATTTTATTTAAATGTGATGATCAGTAATTGAGATATCAGTGTTAATTAATTATTTTAATTAGGTGATTAATAAGCACAAATATTTACCAAAAACTAATTGGGTCACTGCATAGTCCTAGGTTCATTGAAATGTGATGATGAATACTCTATAAAAGTTTCATTAAAATCCAATTAGTGGTTCTTTATATACTAGTATCAGTGGAACATTCATGGATAAAATTAACTAATTATGCAAATTAGGTAATTAATATACACAATTATTTACCCTAAAACTAATCAGGTCTCTGCATAGTCTTAGAGGATCTATGTAGCAAGTCTCATTGAAATATGATGATCAGTACTTAAGTTATCAGACGAAAAACAGAAAATAAACTAATTATGCTAATAAGGTGATTAATATGCACAAATATTCACCCCAAAACTAATCAGGTCTCTGCACATTCCTTAAGTAACTATGTACCAAGTTTCATTGTAATGTGATGATTACTACTTAAAATATCAAAAGCTGAAAATTAATTAATTACGCAAATTAAGTAATTAATATGTACTGATATTACACTAAAAACTATCAGGTCTGTGCAGTGTCCTATGACATTTATGTACCAAGTTTTATTGAAATGTGATGATTACTACTTGAAATATCAAAAGCTGAAAATTAACTAATTATGCAAATTAGGTAATTAATATGTACTGATATTACACTAAAAACTATCAGGTCTGTGCAGTGTCCTATGACATCTATGTACCAGTTTTATTGAAATGTGATGATTACTACTTGAAATATCGAAAGCTGAAAATTAATTAATTATGCAAATTAGGTAAGTAATATGTACTGATATTACCCTAAAAACTATCAGGTCTGTGCAGTGTCCTATGATATCTATATACCAAGTTTTATTAAAATGTGATGATTAGTACTCGAGATATCAGTGGAAAAGCCAAAAATTTATTAATCATTATGCAAATTAGGTAATTATTATTGCACAGATTTTTAGCCAAAACTAATCAAATCTGCGCATTAGTTCAGAGCATCTACGTGCCAAGTTTCATCAAAATCCAATGAGTGGTTCTTTAGATATCAGAGGAACAGTCATGGAACAGCAAAAAAGCAGCTAATTATCATGCAAATTTAGGTAATTAATATGCAAGGATTTTTACCAAAACCTAATCAAATTGCGGATTGGCCCAGAGCATCTGTGCACCAAGTTTCATCAAAAATCAATGTATGGTTCTTGAGATATCAGTTGAACAGACACACACACAGACACACACACAGACACACTAACTGCAAAGACTCCCTTTTTGTGCTTTGCACACATGAGTCAATTCGAGAATTAAAGTTATCATAACAAAATGAACAAATCTAGACACAGTCAACCCAAGGTATATATACCGAGTTATCAAAGCAAGTAGATTTGTGGCCAAAAAGAAGTCAAAAATGTAAAAAGTTGACAACAGTGGATAATATGATGAGCTGAGGTCAGCAGTAGAACTAATAACAGTACACAAATAGTACAGAAACCTATCTAAAGAAAACTTACTGGCCAACATCTGGACAATATTGAGTGAACTATCTTAGAAAATTATACAACACAGATTTTTCTTCATCTAGATTCCAAAATCGTTAATGGTATATCTAATTTTGAAAAAGATCAAATGAAGACTGTTTGGTGTAATTTAACTGTAAGCGATAACAACATCAATAACAATGATGAGAGCAGATACTTTCCTCTAATATACCTTTCCTTTCATCAATGACTAAATCAAAATAATAAATTAATGTTGCAAACTAACAATAAGGCATGTTTATTTTGTACATTTGTACACACACAGACAGGGAAAAATCCATTTCATAAAACTGAAAATCACCAGATGCAGAATATGTTGCATAATACTCACAGCTTTCATTGCTAAAGTTTCCCCTGTGTCCATATTGATACAAGAATACACAGTAGTGCCACATTGCCCTTCACCTGTATTAAGAAAAAAACCTCATACATATTATTCAGATGACATGACTTTTAACTAGTTCTAATTATTGTGTATATGATATCATTACAACATAAATATCACA